TGGCCAAATTATTTATCAAAAATATTGTTTCTTTCTATGATTATTAACCTTAATGTATTATATCACCGAGTTGAATAAATCAATGGCTGTAAGAAATATAAATGCATATTGCAGGGGTGGCTAACATGAATACGTCCACGAGCCACATAGATAAATACAATGATATCAAGAGCCAACATGTTTATAAATGCATTTTATATTTTTTATAAGTTTATCATTAATAATTAAATATTGGTTTTAAAATGTTATATTAGACTAATTTAATTTTTAATTTGTTTTTAATTTATTGTAATTATTTTGTAAATTCTTGGACAAATTGAAATTTGTTATAGATAGTAAATTGAATTAAGCTAAATCGACAAACACTGTTGTAATTCATTTTTTTACTATTATCTCCAATTTGTTGTCACCTTTTTTATAAAAAATTGTCTTTTCTGAATTTTTCAATATTATTAGGTATTTTCCAGTATTTTTTATCATAGTGTATAACTTTATCTTTTTATATCTCAAAATATAAGTTTTTAAATACCGACATAAATTGAATGGGCRTTATTTTATGTCGACTCTTATTTATCTTTATCCATTGATAGTTGGCTTACATTAAACTACATCAATCCTCTTGTCTATAGTTAAGTTTGTAGACAGTGGTCAGTCATCACTCGTATATAATTTTGTTTGTATTCATTTATTTTTCTCTGAAAACAATTTTAGTACTACGAGGGTTGTTCGTGACCTGAAATTTGCAATAAGACACAGCTTGTCTTTTGTTATATTCTGATTTTCGCTTTGCCCGATTGTACATTGTTTGAAATGGACCTTCAATTTCTACGAGTCACGTATCGTATTCTATTGTGTCACATACTTTTATTGTATTTTATATATTGACTCGTCATTTGAATTTTGAAGTTTTTACTATAACTATAGAATCATAGTAAATCGTMAAAATTTCAAAATATGTTTGTGGGGCTTTACCGAGACGTACAATTGGAAAAAGTGTCGTTATTTGTTATAATGAAGATTTAAATAATTATTAATATTATTCGTATTAAAATCTATTTTAATCGGTTCTATAGCATTAATTTATAAAAAAAAAAAA